ATGATTGACTCCTCTTTAGTTTGAATATCAGTTAAACATTGTTTTGAAAATAACAATAGTTAATTAAAAATATTTTAATAAGTTTTTAATATTCTTTATCATTTAATAATTATCGCATAGTTAATTTTTCAAAGTGAGTACTCGAGACCAGTTCGAGATGGGCAGAGCCCTAGGCACTCAGGGGCCCGTTGAGAATCTTACTTTTTATAAATTGTACTTAAAAAAACTAAGCATAAACAAAATTGCCTTATATATTTTTAAAAATGAATAAATTCTATCGTATAAAGTGTTGTTTTTCTTTCTACAAATAGTGATTGATTATCGTGCAAACAACTGTAATTTGAATAGTTTATCACCAGGGAAACTAAAAAAGACAACAGAAATCTATTTTTCTACCTTCCAATGAAGTTTTTATGTGGATTAATTTTTGGGGGGAAATCAAAATGTATTTAAATTTGTTCAAATTATTCTATATGTTAAAAATGCTTTATTTTATGCATGTGAAGTTTTTTTTAGTTCAATCTTGAGCAATATGACCTATTATAAGGGCCCAAAGCATTTCTGTGCCCGGGGGCCCTGCATGCTATTAAGACGGCCCTGCTCGAGATACTAGAAATGTATTTTCCTGGCATTTTTATTTTAATAGTGTCAAAATACATTTGTTTGTTTTTTTGTGACTCTAAGGATTACAAATCTTTTCCTAAATTTATTTTTGTAAAACGAAACATATTTCTTTTTAATCGTTTTAAAAGGTATTCATGCTGGATTCAACTTAACCGATGTTCGAGAATTTAAGAAACAATTGATTTTCGTATTGAAATTTAATGATTATCACTCAAATATATCTGATCAAAATGTATTTGGACGCACTCATACAATAAAGAACTTAAGACACTTATGTTTTTAATTTTGTCTGAAGCAAAACATTCATTGAAAATTATTCACTACCGTTGGAGTTGAATGCTATTAATATTCTTCTTCTCAAAATAATTTCAATTTTGAAGTATTTAGCTTTGTTTCAACTTTGCAAATTTAAAAATACAGTCATAAGAGCTTGTAGAAACAAATGATAAAAAATCTTAATTTAATTAATGTGGATATTGAACTTTACAACAACAACTCACATTGCACATAGTTTTATAATTTTTAAAATCGATAATAAAAAATAATTTAAATGAACAAAATTGTTTTAACCTGACATCTTTAAACATAGAGGAAAAGAGAAACATTAAAATTAATGTCATAATTAATAAAATGTTTACTAATACAGGGGTCTAATTACATGTATTACTATATTATATTACTAATACATGTTTAATAATATAGTCGTGAGCCCAAGTCAAAGTTCCGGAAATTTTCTAGAGTTAAAAAAAAACAGTTTAAATATAAAAAAATTTAAACAAGTTTTTTTTCTCCTTTTTCTCAATATTTCTTAGTTTATTTAAAATATTACACATACCTATGATGACCTGGAGAAGTAATTAAAATTTACAAATATGTCTTTCTTTCTTGAGTTTATGATAACTATTTACTGATAAAAAATGAATATAAGCTTTTAAAGTATCTCTCCCTTACAAACAAATAAAATAAACTGTGTTTTTAAGTTCCACCTTTGAAAATTTGATTTCCGGAAACTTCTGTGATCAATGATTTTTGAAACGTCTGGGCCTTCAATCTCCGGAAACTTCCGGATCACTGTTAGTGAAAAATCCGGATTTTTTCTGGAGCACAATCAGCCCTGCTAATAACAAAAAGATCTAACAAAAATAATTTATATAATTTGAAAACAAATTAAACATTCCAGCTTATAAAATTGCTCGATTTGTATTAAAGTTTTAAAACATAGAAACTAATTTGGCAAATATGAGATAATTTTATGCAAAACAAATTAATCATTTCAAAATTTGCTTAGTAATATAGTTTAGCTCATCTAAGAAACCTTCGTGAATTCGCATTTTTTAAATCAACATACATTGAAGTAATGCTCTTTATAATTTTCTAGTTCAAGCAAAATGTTTTTTGTCACACTGGACTGGACTTACAACACTTGGCCTCCATTTATAGATATTCAGTTCATTTTAATTAGACATTTAGGGAAGAAAGTTAAATAAAATATTTTTCAGTGTAATTTTTTTTCAACAAAAAATTACAATTTTTTTTTAAAAAAAAGGCCTAGAAAAATAAAAAACTAATGAAAATTTGAAGAAGAATTTAATGGCAGAATTTTCAGATTTGAATTACAATCAAACAATTCAACAACTAGTGATTCTATGGATAGAAGTTTCATATGAGAATGTTCTTTGCAAAAATGTGAACTATTTCATTTCATGGTGAGAAAGAAGACAGCGAAACTTTTCTAAAATAGTGTTGATCACAATTTAGTTTAAATAATAGTATTCATTTCTAAAAATGCTAAAACTAAAAAAATAAATAAAACAATTGGAGTTAAAATGAATTTCTGAATAAATTAAAAGAACCACTATTTTCACTATATCATATGAAAATAAGTATAGAAAGGAACCTAATTATTAAAAATATTATAATCATACTTTATAAATACATTCAAATTAACTAATCATACACAAATACAGGGTTGCCACTCAAATTTGGAATTCCCTGTACATATTATACAACAATGTATTGTTGTCTTCTTGCATGAGCTATATTGGGCTGACTTTACTATGTTTTAATTGCTGGAAGAAATAAAAAAAACATCTGAACATAATTAATGCTAGAGTAAATGAAATAGTTTAGTATAGCTGAAATATCATCCCTGGATTACGCTTTGAGTGATAAGACAAAATTAAGAAACCAAATTCCCAGTTTGTAAAGAAAAAAACCAAAATTCCATGTTATTTCAGGTGATTTTTAAATTCCCTGTATTTTCCTTGTGGTGTGGCGACCCTGAAATATCACACCAATTTTTATTAAAATAATTGATTCTATAATTTTTTTTAAAAAAAGTAGATTTGAAAAACATAATTTTCTGGCACTATGTTAAGTTCAATATTAAACTATTCTTTTAATGCTCGTAGTCAAAATTTTTCATTGTTCTTTCATTTTGATCAGTTTCTCTTATTTATTTTTTTTCAGTCTAAGAGAAAATAGGCCTCTTCTAAAAGAAATCTTAACACTGATTAGGTGACACCAAAGAGTTAACGGCTTCTTTGATTATCCAGTGCAAATATTTATCGTCAGCATAATTTGTCAGAACATTTTGTTTTATCATGTTTCTACTCAGTCGGAAGTACATAATCTGCTTTGATTAGAAGTTTTATTTAGGAGTTTTGATGTTTAACTGTGGGATGTTTTGTGATATTTTATCATACAATGCTTGCTGAATTTACATAGAAAAAAACAAAGGGGGTAAAATAACATCACTTCACTGGTATTTGGAAAGTATCACTTTGTGTTGTTTTAAGAACTATTATACAAAGAATAATATTTAATTGCCCGAAATAACTCTGGATAGTAAAATGATTTCAAATTAATGGTTTCTTACACATAAAAACAATTCCAACATAAAACTTGTATAATATGTTTTGTCTTAGTTCCTTGTATTTATTAATAAAATAAAAGAGCATGTTAATTTTCTGCATTTTTTTTCTTTCTTCAAAATAATGGGAAAGGGAAGTGGTTAATAGAATATTTTTTTATCAAATTAAGTAACTCACAATTAAAACATTAATGCTTCAAATCTATAATTACATTCAAGCAGCAGATGAAACAAAATACAAGTAAATTTTAAAAAACATAATGATGCTTCATATGTAACATTTTTGTATATAAAGTATTATAAGTTTGAAATGCAAGTTTCTTTTTTTACAGATTAAAATTTAAAAATTCTTTATAGTGTAATGGGCACAAATAAATAAATGAAACCATGTATTTCCCACTTTAAAATACCTAGTTATAAAAAGTTACAGATAGCTACCAAAAAATGTTATAAACTAGAGTTCATTTCAATACAATTTAAATTCATTAAAAATACAAATAAAAATATATATAACATAATAAAATAACTTACTTTAGGAGTGAAACAACTCTTTTAAACCAAATACAAGTAACTTACACAAAAATATCAACTTTATATGTGATATAAAACATCAAAAGATTATAAATACAAATATATAATGACACATGTTAATAGATGCATTCATATTCATCTGCAAATAGCTTAAAAAGTAACAATTATACGTAATAACAATAATATAGCACCAAAATGATTGCATTACAATACAATGAAGAACCAATTTGCAAAGAGAGGCTATTTTATAGAGTCTAATGGTATTCAAAAGAAACACCTTGTAATGTTATGGCACATATGTATACTGCAAAATATCATTAACAAAAGTGAATTTTAATATAATAGATTTATTAACTTTTTTAAGAAAAAAAGATAATTTTTTAAAAATTTATTCTAATAATTGAGTCCTATTGGTAAAAACACTTTTTTTTTATTAATGAAGCATTTATAAAAGCGTAATATTTAGGAAACTGGTAATGATATTCTAAATGCAAAAACTTCTAAAGTCTGCTTTAACTTTATAGTGATATTGGTAATCTAATATTTTAAAAGTTTAGGTGAAACGAAATTAAAACAATTAAGTTTCAAAATCTCTTACAACAGGCAGTTTTAAAATATGTTAATTAAGCATCAAAACAATTAATAAAATTTTTTTTGATAAATGTTGCAATCATAGAACCGTAAGAGGGGAATACATAAAGCATTTGAAATTTTTTCTTCAAAATAATTAATTAAAAATTGTTAATAAAATATCAGCGCTGTTAGTATAAATAAAAGCTTTGTAAAAGATAAATTCACATTAAAAACAATTATTATAATATATTAAACAGAATTTGAAGTTGATTAAAAATTATATATATAAATATTTACTAGAGTTTCTACAATAAAATTGATACAGTTTTGTTACTTGACAAAATGCAATTAGTTTTATAGAGATGACAAAAGTAACTGATTTTGGAAGAATTGCACAAAAAATAAATAAAAAAATATTGTACAGTTTTGATATTTAAAGCAAAATTATGAAAAGTCAGAAGAGATAGTATTTTTACAAATTATAGTACAGTTGCTCTTTTTTAAATTGATCATTCCTAATAAAACAAGATTGCCTTTATCAAAGTAATCTGCACTTAAAAATTTTGAAACAGTCTCACATCATTGCTTTCAAAAAGAAAATGCTTAAAAGTGATATAAAAATAGAATAGCTCTGCAGCAGGTGTGCAGAACTTGCAAATGGAGATTCTTCACTGCTGGTCGTTGTTTTGAAGCAATTATCACCGCAGTCATCATCGTCGCAAATATCGCAAAGATCAGTCCTGTGAGGACGGTAAAACATCCTGGCACTTCTCGCTGAAAATAAGGAATCTGTCATTAGCACACATAACAACAAATAGACTACATTGCAGGACATTTATAAAAATTTTTCTCAATATTTCAGGTGGCTCATTTATTTTTACATATTTTAAACTTTGATATTTCATATCTGTTTTAATTATTGATGAAAGTTACATTAAAAGTGTTAACCTTGGATATAGAAGTCATAAACTTTGACTGGCGCCCTCCGTTGGCGTGCTACCTTATGTATACGATGTGCTGGGACAGTCACACAAGACTCTTCGGCATCCATCTGAAAATAAACCATATAAATTACCCAAATGTTTCAACAAAAAATAAGCACTTTTTAAGCACTATGTACGATAAAATAACTAGCTTCTGACAATGAACTCTTTTCTGGATTATGTTAGCCATTATAAAATGATCAAGAGATTTTCTGTTCGATATCAGAGGGTTTAAAATGAAGCCTGAAATTGAGAGTATCTTGCAAAATGCAACACATGGAAAGAGCAATAATCTCACTGAACCCAGCTCAGTAGGCACACATGAAGACTCGCAAGTATTTCATCAAACATGTAAAATGATTGGCGCTTTCATATGCTATGGACCGACGTTATGCCGAACTGGATTGTGGTTGAATGAATAGTGAAATCGTTGGATAAAACAATGTAAAAACCACACTTTTGCATAATATGTGGCAAAAATGGATATTATAAAGAAAAAAAACACCTTTAAGGGCTTTTAAAAACGAAAATAAGCACTTTTTAAAAGCGCTACGCACCATGTAATAAATCAGTTGATAACAGAATAACTTTAGTGTTCAATGACAATTTCAGCAAAAAAATACAATAAATAAAAAATAAAATTTAAAAAAAAACATTAATAAAAATTTGTAGAAACATCAAACAGCTTTCATTAATTTCATAGCATTGATAAATATAATAATAAACTCACACATACAGAAAAGCATATAAGAGTTAGTTAAGAAAATACAAATATGAAATTCAAAGTGTGAAGGGTGGAAAGTAAGAGTGTCTGATTTAAAGCAAGTTAAATCAGTCATAAAATTTCAAAATTTTAACTATGAAAAGAGACATACATAAAAAAATTAAAGGGTATAGAATTACTATGGTAAAATATCTTCAACACTATGTAGAGAAAAATTTAAAAATTTTAGGAGTTTGTTGCAATTGGAATTTCAGCAAGGAATAAATTAGAATATTTTGGCAACAGATACTTAAAATATTTATGAAAAATGAGCAACTTAGGTTTGGGTGTGAAATACATTTAGTAAGGTCTTAACCAACTGAGAAAAAAAATTCTAAAATCTCATTCAATTTCAATGCAATTATGTAAAATAGAATACTAATTAGTTTCCTAGATAATTATAAAGAAGCAGTTTTTTATATTTCTTAATGATATATAAACTTAATTTATAAACCACGTCTTAAGAGTTAAATCTTATCTTAATTATATCTAATCATTTCTTACGAAAATTCAAAAACTTTCTAAAGCTACAATTTTTTTTATTTGATAATAATTGATAGTTTTCATAAATGAAGTAAATTGATTTAATCATAAATCCCTGTCATCCGCCTAAATATTTTTTTTTTAAAAAGGTAAAATTAATACGATATTAAAATTTGATTAATAAAAACATATAAAAAAATTATTTCATATGAATAAAAATATATTTGTAGGGATTTAGGAACCCACTGCGTGTTCTCTGTAAAAAATACTCAAGTAAATTTATCTTTGTTTAAATAACAATAATTTACAATTATTTTGATTTTGAAGTAAATTCTATTGGATTAGTATAATAAATTTTGAAAAATAACTCACCATGGAAAAAAGTGCGCATTTAAGTAGGCCCGCACAAAAAAAACTAGCAGGGTTTTTTTTAAGCTGAGCCCACTTAAGCAAACCCTGAATAAAAAGCATATATTCTTCTTATAAAAATCATAAATATTTAATATAAAATAAAATACAAACAAATATCTTTACTTTTTTAAAAGAAATATTTTACCCCTTGAACAGTTAACTAACAACAGATTAACAAGACAATAATAATGGGCACACTAACTTATAAAGGTGCTTATAAGGGAATAAAAAAACTAATTACATTTTAATTACTAATTATATTTAAAATTATTAATTATATTTAAAAACTAATTATGTAACCAGCCCTATAAACATAGTATTTGTGGTTGTATGACGTGGGGGATGTAACTCCACCGCTGTGGCGTAGCCACAGGTTCCCACTGGGAACACTAGGATAGTAGCAATTCTGACATTTCTCAGAGAAATAGACCTGCCATAGAAGAAAAAAAAAAGACTTACCCTATCGAAATAGATGATAACGTTGGTATCATGCAACTGACTTTCTACACGTTTAACTTTAGGTATTTGTAGAATACTTGGCAGAGCATCCACATCCGCAATGTAACCAGAAGGCAAAGTGACCTCCATAACAGCCATGTTGCTAGTGTCATTTCTTCTTTCACGCTGACTACAAAAGGAATTAACATTATAGCATTACAGAAACACAAAAAATCAACCTTCATCTATGAAAAGGTACCCCACTATAGGTTAGAGTTAACATGTCTTACATACTAATGAATTGGCAGTGTATTTTTGCAGTGGTAGACACACTACAATAGTTTTGGAAATGGTAATAAAAAGGTAACATTTCAAGAAGGTTTTTTTACTGAATTGGAAATGAAATTCCTTTCTAGACATTTCAAGAAAAGTTTAATATAAACTTAATAATATTTTATGCATCCACAGCACTGTTTTATAAGAAAAACAAGATTTTTTTTTTAAATTTAAAAAAAAATATTTTAGAACAGAAATTTTGCTGAAAGGTGGAACTTTTACAAGGAATAATTGTAATAGATATGAGAAACTGAATTTAATAACTAGCCATTTTGTTACCAACAATTATAAATCTGATAATTTTACAGGTATGTTGTTAAAATTTTCCTGATTTTTGAAAAATAGATTCTCAACCACTCCCTGAAATTTGCTCTAAAAACAAATTTCCTGACAAAATCAAGTATACTCTTTTTTTCCCTACAAGAACCCTGCTTAAAAAAACAAAGCCTACCTAAAAATTTAACCAAAGAGGAAAAACTTCTTTTATGGAACAATTGTGGATAATCTTGCAACATTTGATACATTAAATGATTAAATTGAATATCTAAGTCATGTTCTACACGGAATGTGACACAATTAATTAATGCTTTATTCATGTTTCATTATACATGTCTAAATATTAACTAAGTAGAGAAACCATCGCTATCCTGAATGTCTAAGTTTTCCAGCTTTCTGGATCGGCTAAAAAGTGTTGTTTATCAATGTCTTATCGAATCCAAATTACAATTAAAAAAGAGTAACACATTTTAAAATAAGAAAGAAAAAGAAAAGAAGCTTTCTAAAAAATTAAAAAATGGTGAAAAAAATAACATTTAAAAAAATAAAAACATTTACAAGTTTAGATAAGAAAAAAATACAAAAGATTACAAAGAAAGATTAAAAAGATTACAAAGTAAAATACAAAAAATAGAAAAGAATTTAGATACAAAATTCACATATTTATTTTTTGAAGATTATTTAAAATCCCCTAATTAACTAATATAAAGCAAAACCAATGATTAAAAAAACGCTATGTATTTCATACCCAGTTATAAGGAAAACTTATTAATCATATTAAATAAAAACAAGAAACATAATTACATAGCATTAACATAATTAATAAAATCCTGGACGAGATGTGAATTTTTAAAAAAAAAAAATTATTTAAAATTCATGAATCAAAACAACTAATTTATTTAGATCAGTGAAAAGAAAACTGAAAACGTAGTGGAATCCGAAATGCATCACTTTGAAAAAGAGAAAGCTTCATTAAATAATAGTTTGCCATTAGTAATAAATAATTGTATGCTTAGAATTTTAACAGTATTTTCCTTTCATTTTAATATAAAAGAAGACAATTTTTAACAGAAGCAGATGTGATTCCACATCAAGCAAAATATGCAGATGATACTGTACTTAGAAAGAATCAGAATTTATTCAACTGAGGAATATTGTTTCATTATTAAATGTGAAATAGATAGATAACAGATGATAAAAACGTTTTGTTCAAAATAATTAATCGTAATAATAATGTATTATTCGAAACAATAATTTGTCATAATAAATGAAGGATAACTAAAGTGAATTTAAAAAAAAAAAAACTAACATGTCTAATACTCTTGGGACAGAAGTTTCCTTAACTTGAACATCCAATTCACAGCTCTCCAGAAAGGATTAAGAATAAAAGACGAATCTTGAGGATGCAACACCTAAAGACGGTTGATTTGAATCCTTTGTTTATTGAGCAAATTAAGATATTGAAAACCGGTAGAGCGAAATCCTGCAGCTTGAATAGAGTGTCTCTGACAATGACGATTCCCGGTTTTGTGGTAAAGTTACATTTTCCCCTGACAATTCACTTTTTTTTTCGAACCTCGTTTTCCGTGACAATTCCGTCACTCTATTTTCAGGCGATACCTTTGTTAAATTTCCGAATTTTCATTCCAGATTCATTATTTAACAGGATCCAAGTTAAGAAAAGATTTGTACTTATTATTTCTATTTCGCTTTTACTTTTTAAAACATTATAACAGGGTTCCCAATCTTTTAACAAAGCAAAAATTAAGCAGTTTTAAGGTCTCTTTTTTGAAAAATTAAGGACTTTAAAAATAGTATGATTGCTTATCATCGAATATACATGTACCACCAGTGCCAATTATTTACCTTTCTTTAAAAAAAAATCAATGAATAAAAAAAATTATAAAAGACAAATTTATTATAATGTAAACGCTGACATAATTGTATTAATTAACAGGGCTTTTTTTTTAAAAAAATATTTTCAAATTGTTAAGGGTTAACGACATGTATGGAACCAATCCGTATTCCATTTTTAATAATTTCATTAAAATTGAAGTGTAAAATTAAGTGCAGAAGTTAAGATTTGCAATTTTTTCACAAAAAAAGAGTAAATAAAGAAATTTGAGAAAAATATTGAAATAATTATTACAAGTTTTTACATTTCGCTACTAGACATGCATCAAATATTCAGTTGTGGGCCAATCTTGCAAAATATTCAGTTACGCCAGTAAAATTACTTTCTATTAATAAAATGTTTCATTCATAAGGGTACATATTAAAGGAATTAATGCTAAAAAGTTATATTAGAGTTATGCGTGAGAATGGTTTCTTAACTATGTCATGTTAAACTAAGTCATATTTCAAGTAAAACAGGTCATACTAATATATAAGGACCCTAAATCATTCCACTTTTTTTTCCCTTAGGCTTAACTTCATATAATTTTTTAAATTCAGTGCAATAAATATTTTTACAAAGATTTTTATAGAATAAAAATAAAATTATACTTGAGAAGATTTATAATTTTCAAACCAATATATTTTTTATTAGTTCTTTGTGAAACATATAAATAAAAGGGTCTAAAAGGATTTTTCAAAGTAATCAACACATTCCTATGGCCAGAAAATTGATAAGGTTCCTTAATTAAGAAATACTGATAAATTATTTATTTTTTCATCATTTATAGATTATTGTCATATTCATTCTATCATTCTTAACATTATTCTCTACTATTATTATGATTTGAATTTTGGTTTTATTGCAAATTAATAGTTTAAAACAGAAAGTGATATTCTTTTAATATTATAAGCTAATCTTGTAATATTATCTTATCAGGCAACGTTTTGTAAAAAAATATAAAAATTTTTTATGAAAATCATATTGAAAACGATATGTAACTTAACAATTCTGAAATTATTACTAAACAGCAAATGTGTTATAGCTACTTTTATGATGAGCTTTACACAAAGTTATTTCCAGCCAAACCTGATATTAGGAATTAACTTTACACAATGTTAAAAAAAACATGAACTAATTTTAAAGCAACCAAAAGTTGAATAAAAAAAGGTGGAAAAAAAAACAGTATATTAAGTTGCAATTTTAACTGAATAAAACTATTATTAAAATCTAAGTTTGAATTATATTCTAAACGACAGTATTAACAAGAAGTTTGGGGTCTTTTAATCGAGTAGATTTAAATTTTTTTGAAATAATCTGCTTATCCTTAAGAAATAAAAAATAATAGCGTAACAATCTAAAACTTTAAAAAAAAAAAAATTCACCTTGTAAAAAAAAACAAGCTATTAATAGTTACCAAATATTTAATTTTCTTGTTAGAAGCAAGTCCTGCATTCTTATTTAATACTCAGAAATAAAAATTGTCTTTTTTTTTGNATTATGATTTGAATTTTGTTTTTATTGCAAATTAACAGTTTAAAACAGAAAGGGATATTCTTTTAATATTATAAAAGTGATATTCTTTCAATATTATAAGCTAATCTTGTAATATTATCTTATCAGGCAACGTTTTGTAAAAAAATATAAAAATTTTTTATGAAAATCATATTGAAAACGATATGTAACTTAACAATTTTGAAATTATTACTAAACAGCAAATGTGTTATAGCTACTTTTATGATGAGCTTTATACAAAGTTATTTCCAGCCAAACCTGATATTAGGAATTAATTTTACACAATGTTAAAAAAAACATGAACTAATTTTAAAGCAACCAAAAGTTGAATAAAAATTAAGGTGAAAAAAAACAGTATATTAAGTTGCAATTTTAACTGAATAAAATTATTATTAAAATCTAAGTTTGAATTATATTCTAAACGACAGTATTAACAAAAAGTTTGGGGTCTTTTAATCGAGTAGATTTAAATTTTTTTGAAACAATCTGCTTATCCTTAAGAAATAAAAAATAATAGCGTAACAATCTAAAACCTTTAAAAAAAAATATTCACCTTGTAAAAAAAAAACAAGCTATTAATAGTTACCAAATATTTAATTTTCTTGTTAGAAGCAAGTCCTGCATTCTTATTTAATACTCAGAAATAAAAATTGTCTTTTTTTTTGTTTGTTTTTTTTTTAAAAAAACTTCAGGTTTTCATCAGGTTTTTGATGAAAAACCTAGGTGGGCTAGGATTTTTCAAACCCTAATTATTATAAATCTGTTTAATTTTTAGTACAATCATGAATTTTAATGTTACTGCTTTTGATAAATTTACCGTTACTTCTTATTACACAGTGAAATATAATACAATTTTATTTAATTCAAGATTTTCGGAAATAGTTTTACTTATGGATTCTAGGTCAAATTTTTTTATACTCCTTTTTTTAGGGTTTTACTTTGTTCCTATAGGAAGATGAGTTACCAATAGAACTGAATTTCTTGAATTCTGTCAATTTTGAAGGTTAGTGTTAGTCTTCTACTTAGGTACCTTACAATTGCCTTCCCCCAAAAAAGCCCTATCTCTTCCATGTGCTGAATCCCCCTTGTCCATACTCTACTCTTTTTTTTTTTTTTAATGCTTCACTCTTCTCATAGAGTATCATTCTAGACAAAAGGCAAAAATTATTAATTAAAGAACCAATATATTAGTAAAAGATCATGCTTTTTTCCCCCTGCCTGTAGCTCCCTCACACACATTCCTTCTTGTCTCTCTAAAATGCTTTCCCCTCAATGCATAGTCTAATTGTATATGATAAAAGAACAATTTTTTTGTTTTAAAAAATTAAACTGAAAAATTGTTCTGATCAAGTATACTGATGCTGAAAAATTAAGGACTTTCAAAAACCTTGTACCATAATTAAGTACTTTTAAGGGCCCTTATTTTCCAAAATAAAAATTAAGCAGCTTTTAAGGACCGTGGGAACCCTGCATAAGGAGTGGCAAAACTTTGTTGCATTTTTAATTAAATGCTTCCAATTTTTTTTTCTTATTCGCAATTGTACTTAATTTTGGATTTTAACTGGCGTTTTATAACTCTCTCTTTGGAATCATTCAATTTGTAGCAATAATAAAAATATATTCATTTTATTTCTACGAATTTCAGTAGTAATAGTCCAGGCATTTGTATTTTTTCCCCACTAGCACAGCCAATGATGTTTCGAGTAATAATTTACTAAATTCTTCTGATTATTTTGTAAAAGATAAAATTCAACTTAATTATATTCCTACTTTAGTATTGAAAGAAAAATAGTAACCGTATTTTAATAATTTTCATATACCAATTAATAATTTTAATTTCTATTTCACACTTTTCTCTCTTTATTTCTTAGTATAGGGATATATATTTCTTTTTATTTCTCTTTCACCTTCTGTTCACTGATATGTGTGTGCAATGCTTTTTCCCCCACCACCTCGTAAACCAAATCCTTTATGTTTCATTGACGACAACTCATCAGAAAACCACAGATTCCTTCGGACACACAGGAGAAAATAAAACATTTGTCCCTTCCCTGCCCCTCTCCACCTAAATAGCCTCAAGGTAATGGAAGAAATACTGAAGTTTTCTTGTGACAAACCGGGAGAAAATATTCCCACATTTTTCTCTCCTTAACTTCAAGGATGAGAAAAATTTCTACTTTTTCTTTAAATTGTTCTAGTTCAAAATGGCGGAAAAACTGTGCAAAAGTTTTCTTACGGTTTTCCAGTTTTCAGGATACCAGATAAATAGTTCTGTACAGTACAAGTTTCTTTTTCATTCAAAGTACAGAACTATTTATCCAGACACGTACAGTACATGTTTTTTTCTCTTTCACTTCTCTACAGAGGATGAAAATTGTGATGGCATGCCTTCGGATCATCCTCTGGGATGTTTCCCAGCCTAATGTGCAGCTCTAATGTGACGTAAATAAAGTATAGCTCGTTCACCAGGAGTTGGCACTTGGCTCCGCCTTCATCACATGGTATGCGATAATACTTTTTCGCTATTCTTTGGGAGAAAGTTGTGAGCAATTCTGAGCAAGGTTGCTATTTGGCGATTGTATGGCAAAAATATTTATTTCGCAAACTTTATATGCATTTTTTTAACATTAAATACTTCATGAATAGGATGATATTCCACACCATTTTTAATGATATTTCCCTCGTTTGAGTGAATAGTTTGTTCTTTTTGAGACATTTTGCTGGGAAAGCAGCAGTTTTTAAATTAAAAATATATTTAATTAGCTAGAGAAACAAAACGTATAATAGCAGATGATAAAGCAAAGTAATTGAAAAAGAAGTCACAGTTTGTGTTTGGTGCGCATTAAAGGTTGTCTCAATTTTAAGCATGGAGATGTTTCTCTTTTTACTCCTGGGCTGAAATGAACTATGTGTCCGTGGAGGTGGAGCTAAGTGCCAACTCCTGGTGAACGAACTATACCTCTTTCATTTATTTTCCACAGTAATCAAGTGATAACTTTTGTGTGAAGGCTGTAACAACATTTAAAAGGGAATAACAACAGATCTTTCTTACTGAGTGCATATGCTGAGTTGTAAATAACTTGCAGTAGAAGTTTTATCTAAGAGAGCATTTAAAAAAAATTGTGGAGCTTCACCAGAAACAGCCAAATTGAAAGACCAAGAAACCTGAAATAATACTATTTTATAGATATTTGAAAAAGAAAATAATAATAACTAAACAAATAAGTATTGTTTTTACCTGGACAATACCAACACCAGACCCAGATACTTCTATTTCCACAAATGGAGTGCTTGAGGGTATCTAAATAATTAATTTTAATTAATAATTAATTTTAATTAATAATTAATTTTAATTAATAATTTATTTTAATTAATAATTAATTTTAATTAATAATTAATTTTAATTAATAATTAATTTTAATTAACAATAATTAATAATAATAATATTAATTAATTATAATTTTAATCTATAACAAAAAGTAATAATTAATATAGAAATAACTAATAAGGTCATACTTTCTCATTGAACAATTTCTGGAACGAAAATACAGT